TCGGCTCACCGCAACCTCCGCCTCCTGGGTTCAGGCAATTCTCCTGCCTCAGCCTCCTGAGTATCTGGGATTACAGGCATGCGCCACCATGCCCAGCTAATGTTTTGTGTTTTTAGTAGAGACGGGGTTTCACCATGTTGACCAGGATGGTCTCGATCTCTTGACCTCGTGATCCACCCACCTCAGCCTCCCAAAGTGCTGTAATAAGAATATTAAAATACTTAAGGACAAATGGTTTTAGCCTTAATTGGGTTAAATAATCTTCAGAATCTATGGATATTCTGTTGCACAAATAAAGTATAAAATTATAAAAATGAATTACATAAGCTTTAAAATGCAAACAAACAGCTAAGAACTTGTATAATTAATTAATTCAGAATTAAGAGGCCGTACAATTGTCCTTATTAAAAAATTAGTTGGCCAAAAAACTTTTGTTTTTGTTTTTGTTTTGAGACAGAGTCTCACTTTGTCGCCAGGCGCCAAGCTGGAGTGCAGTGGCACAATCTCGGCTCACTGCAACTTCTGCCTCCCGGGTTCAAGCAATTCTCCTGCCTCAGCCTCCCAAGTAGCTGGGACTACAGGCGCACACCACCACACCCACCTAATTTTTGTACTTTTAGTAGAGACGGGGTTTCACTGTGTTGGCCAGGATGGTCTCGATCTTTTGACCTCGTGATCCGTCCACCTCGGCCTCCCAAAGTGCTGGGATTACAGGCTTGAGCCACTGTGCCCGGCCCAAAAAACTGTCTAAAAGATTACAGGATACATGCGAAAACTGCAAAATCAAAATAAAATCAGCTGGGAATTCTTAGGTGACTGGTGATCTGAATACATATAGTGCTACTTTCTGGTTAATAAGACTAAGTTCAAGTTTAAGTTCACCCACAAATTAACTGTATGACAATGATGGAAAGTCATCTAAGTTCATTTGTTTTAAGAATCATCTATTAAAAAGGAGCTAGTAAATGACATTACATCTGTTCTAATTCCTTTTCTTTTCTTTAAAGAGACCAGGTCTCACTATGTTGCCCAGGCTGGTCTCGAACACCTGGACTCGAGCAATCCTCCTGCCTTGGCCTCCCCAAGTGCTGAGATTATAGGCATGAGCCACCACGCCCAGACCATCTGTTCTAGTTCTAACATTTCATAATTATAACAAGACAGTAAGTGCCTTCCTAATAAACTATTGAAATATTACAATATAGAAATACAATAAATTTTATTAAAGTAAATAAGTCAGGAGATTCTCCACCCAGTTTTGCTTGTTAAATATATGGTATTCTTATATAATTTATATAAATAAAACTGTCCACTATTGCATTATGGGTGGGGAAATCTGGTATACTTTCACCAACCTAAGAGGGTAATTTGAGATGCTGACTTAAAATATGTACTACCTGACATATATGAATGTAAATATTATCCTAAGGGTTCCTGGGAATATCTCAAAGAGACAGTCATCCTCCAGAAACTCTAAAATCTAGCTACCATTATACCCATGTGACTGCTATACTGATACAAATAATCAAAATAACTACAAAGTTTTTTAAAAGGTTATCATTAATATTAGGGCCAGGTGTGGTGGCTCATGCCTGCACTTTGGGAGGCAAAGGAGGGCAGATCACTTGAGGTCAGGAGTTCGAAACCAGCCTGGCCAACATGATGAAACCATGCCTCTACTAAAAATACAAAAAATTAGCCCAGTCACATACCTGTAATCCCAACTACTTGGGAGACTGAGGCATAAGAATCGCTTGAATTCAAGAGGCAGAGGCTACAGTGAGCCAAGATCATGCGGCTACACTCCAGACTGGGTGACAGAGCGAGACTCTCTCTCAAAAACAAAAAAGTTACTATTACATCAGAACAATTTTTTCTTGTTCTGCCCAGCTGACCACAGTCTGTGATCCATGAACCTATTCAATGGGTAAACAGCATTAACTCTAACAATCCTCAGAAGAGTAAAGCGCTCTTATTCTAACAAACTAAAATAATGTTCTCTTCCTCAGAGCTGATACCTATTATTAAAATGGTGTTAGTTTTTGGTTTCAGGGTTTTTTTTGTAGACAGGACTCTGTCACACAGGTTGGAGTGCAGTGGCGTGATCTTGGCTCACCACAACCTTGACCTCCAGGGCTCAAGAGATGCTCTAGCCTCAGGGCCCCAAGTAGCTGAAACTATTGGTGAACACCACCATGCCCAACTCATTTTTGTACTTTTGGTAGAGATAGGGTTTTACCATGTTGCCCAGGCTGGTCTCGAACTCCTTGACTGAAGTGATCTGTCTGTCTTGGCCTACCAAAGTGCTGGGATTACAGGCGTGAGCCACCGCACCTGGCCTGGTGCTAGTTTTAAAAGCTGAAGAGCTGGACCATAAAGTTTCTTCCATTTGCTCAACAAGCAATAATTTGTCACACTGTCAGTACCAAGCTAGAGACCAAGAATGCAAAAAAGAATGAGATGCCATTCCTAACCTCATGAAACTAAGAGTCTAACAGAGGAGTCAAATAAGAACACAGCTGGTCCTGCCGGGCGCGGTGGCTGAAGCCTGTAATCCTAGCACTTTGGGAGGCCGAGGCGGGTGGACCACGAGGTCAAGAGATCGAGACCATCCTGGTCAACATGGTGAAA